CAGCGGCTCTGGGCACGGCGGGAGCACCTGGAGCTGCTGCCACCACCCCAACCCAACCACAGCTTCCCGTGAGAAACCAAAACTTTTATTCAAAAAACACAAATCGATTTCTTTTTTTTTTTTTTTTGGGGTGTCTTTTAGAACCTCTAATTTAAAGCAAAGAAATAAAGAAACCAACACAATAAAGGAATAAAGAAAGAAACAAATCTGAATATCTACCCTGGTTTTTGGCAGTTCTCATGCCAATCTCCTGCAGGTGCTCCAGCCCCCGTGGCCTCTGCTTGTAGTTTGGGTTTGGGTTGGGATTGATTACTTATTTTTATTTTTTTTTTTGGTAGAATTTTCATTTTGATCCTTTGTTTTCAGGTCCCCAGGATAAGTGTGAGGAAAATCAGAGAAATGATGGAGAGCTGCAGCCACACAGAATACCGACAGAGCTTTTACCTGACCCTGCACTCTGAGGGTTTGCTCTTCCACGGGCCCCCCTACCTGATCCTCTTGCTGCTGCCACGGCCGCCGCTGCTACTGGTCCATAAGCCGCTGCCGGAAAACCTGGCCGTGGAGAAAAGGAGAAGGGTAAAGAAAAAAGCCAGAGGGTAGCTCGAGTCTCTGCGGGGCACAGGGCGTTCCCAGAGCTCACCGTCCCAGCTCTCCGTGCCACCAACAGGCTGGGAAGAGCCAAACCCTTGCCAGGCGCCCGCGGCCGACGGTCCCTGCGGGCACAGCTGCCCTTGGTAGAGGGAGCTGAGTGCCAGGGGGGACAGGCTGGGGGGGGAGGCCCCACACTCCCAAGCTGCCAAGGTCAGCCTGCTCCGCAACCCACCAGGGAATTCTCTTCCAGCCTTATTTGCAAGTGATAATAACGTGCTGGTCTATAGACAGAGCAGTAATGGAAAATATGAGGAGGTCCTCGTGTCAAGATCACAGATTTGCCAGGATCAAGCAGGAAAAAATTCAATGGAATGTGGCTTTAAAAAAAGAAAGAAAGAAAGGAAAAAGCTCTTGAAAGCAAAACAGCCACAGATCAAGGAGCTCTACGACATACCCCTGCTCCGGGGCCAAGCCCTCGCAGGGGGACGGAATGCTGCCAGCCAGATCACAGGTTTAATGGCTTTACTTCATTAACATTCGAAAGATCTGCCAGAGACCCTGACTTTCCATATAGGTATTTTAAGAGGGCAACAGCAAAGTCCAGGAGATCCGCAAGAACCCCAAACCCCAAAGTCAACAACTTCTGGGAGGTTCCTGGTCTCTGGGAGCTCTGACAGCTCCTGCTGCCCAAAAGGACAACCCTGGGGTGGTTGCCATGATGGGACCTGCCCCTCAAGTGGGCCCAGGACTCTGATCACAGCTGCTTTGCAAGGCTGAGGAACCACAGAAAAACAACTGAGGCACAGAGAAAGAGAAGAGTGAGCCAGAGAGCAAAGAAGAAGCCCCAGAGAGACCAGCAGATTGCTACCTCTAGCACCTATTGGCTCAGCTACAGCTCATCTACCAGGGAAAGGAGGCACAGGACGAGGCTAGAGTTATGTGAAGCTACTTAGAACATCAATTAAAAAAAGACATACTTGCATTTAAATATGGTAATAGGGCTGTTGGGGGAAAAAAACAGCACAGGTAAATGCAGGCAGAGGTTCCCCAGGCTGCACCGAGCCCAGCACGGCGTGGCAAACTCTGGTCCCCAGTGCTGATGTGAACCTCTGGCTGTGACTGCTACAGCCTCTGCAGAGTGGGAAGCACGAGGAAGCACATCCCAACTGGGGGATGTTCTAACCAATGCTAAACATGAGTCTTAAATTCCCTCTTGCTGGTGATGGAGCCACTGACCCTGGTTGGGTTCCCTGACACAGGATTAGGGTTCAAACTGGGATATGCTGGAGTGAGATGACTTTGGTGCTAGGGTCAAACCAACCTCCAAAGAGCAAAGAAAGCATCTGCAGGACAAGGGCTGAGGCTCTGGGGCTTCATTTTCATGCAGAGCCATGGCTGGGCCAAGCTCCAAGCCCTCCTGCTGCGCTCAGGCAGGAGCAGAGCTGGCACTGTCCCACAGCTCCCCCTGCCCAAGAGCAGTGTCCTCAGCGTTCCCATGGCACCTCCACGACCAGCTGGCCACCCGCAGATCTCCCCTTTGGAGGCTCCAGGGGCTCCCTAAACCATCCATGAGGGATCAGAGGAGCTGTGGATTTTCCACGGAATAAAACGCCTCTGCCAAAACCAATCAAATACTCTTCAAATCACCACACATCCCCTGAGAACAGCACAAAACACAGGGCTGGAAAGTTTGTTTCTCTTGTTCAGCTGCCAGGGACGCTCAGGATCTATTTGAAATGTGGGACAAAAAGTTTTGCCATGCAAAAGAAGAGTGAAATAACAAGGGTGGAGAAAGCGCTCCACGGAAAGAGCCCGAACAAAGGCTTCGTTATTGCATTCCAGTGGACAGATGTGTGAAAAATTAATCCCTCCGCCCCCGAAGAAAGCTTTTATCCCAACTCTGAGATAAAAGCATCCCTGCGACATGGCACTCCGAACAACTCAAGTGTGATGTGCCGCTCGGCTCTGCGCGGAACGCTGCGGGCGGCCGGAGGCGGAGCGGCCACGGTCGGGAGATGGAAACAGGGACTGACTGCCAGGACTGGCCAAACCCTGTGCCCTGACACACTGTCAGGCTGGTTCCCCCACCAGAGGATCCCCAAATCAATGTCATGTCCTGAAAGCTATCGATCCCCTGCTGAAATGCCAGCAGTGTGTCCATCCGCTCAGCTGGGCGCGGATTCCTGTCACCGTGCCGTGAGCCACTGATGCTGTGTGACCTCTCACCACTGTGCCAACTCGCTGTGGCACCTCTGTGGCTCTTGCTCCTGACACTCTTGGCAGTGATCAGCAGCTGATGCCATCCTGCTCTGCCTCATGCGGATCCTGGCACGGGGCAGTGGGAACATCTCTGAGAGCTGGAGCACAAGGAGAAGGTGCAGCCAGCAGAGCCAGAATGTGAACACAGTGGCCCAGTGCCACCGTTTTCCCTCCGCAAAGCCTAGGAAGTTCAGGCTTCCCCAGGAGACAGCAGTGGCTCTGGGGACACAGGACTGCTGGCCCTGGGGGACCACGGGG